ATAAATTAAAACCACTTATGTCCAAGGTTCCCATAGGTAAGAGAAGGAAAGCTTTCTCCTTCTTGGGTAGGGGCAGATACGTGGAGGCGAGGGAGGGGTTTCACACCATTCTGGTGCCTCCCCTCCAATGCCAAAGCTGAGGCAGAATGAGTGACTCAGGAGAAGCCCCAGGGAAATTCTAGGTCTTGCTTCCCTGCATGCCAAGGGGATTCTTGAGTCTCCCCTCAAGGCAGGGAGCCCCTCAGATGCAGCCCAGCCCCTCTATGGAGAGAAGTTCCTACTCACCCACCTCTTAAAGAAGGTACCTGTCGATGAAAAATTAATCAGTCGATCTAAGAAAGAAATGGAAAACTTTATTGGAGGCAAATTTGAGGATTATAATGCGGGAAGAGCACATCAGAAAACTCTGAGAACTGTTCCGCCAGTTAGAAGTCAAGGCACAGTTATATACGTTTTTTGAGACAGAGGGCTGTACATAAATGACGTATTATTGACGGTTTACATAATCCAGATCTAAGCGTCACGTCATCATGGTGGGTCATGTGACCCCTTATAAGATCAAGAAAGAATGTTATCTTTTAAGGAGTTGTCTTGTTGTTGCTCTTTATGGCTGAGTAGGTATTGCTGCTCACGGGGGAGGTCTGGTTGAAGTATAATGCAGATACACAATGCACAGTGAGGGGAGAGGGGAGGTCAAAGGGCAGAGATGAATTTTTTTTTTTTGCCTCACCACGTGGCATGCGGGATCGCAGTTCCCCCACCAGGGATTGAACCCATGGCCCCTGCAGTGGACTCGCAGAGTCCTATCCACTGGACTGACAGGAAATTCCCCAGAGAAGAATTTTTATGTTTAGATTTTTCTTGTCTTGCCTTAAAATATAAATTTTATTTCACATGCCTAAGGACTTGTGGATGGGGAGATTCTGGATTCGTTTTTTTGTTCCTTTTCCAGTTCTCTTGGGCTCAGCTGTGTGCTGCCTGGTCATTAGGGACCTGCCAGCCCAGGGCCCTTGTATACTCATGCTTATCCATAGTTTTTTAACTGCTCCAGTCCTGATGTCAGCACTCTAGGTCACTCCAGGTCCTGCTGGACCACTGTGGGAGGGACAGAGCAGAGAGGCCTGGGTCAAATGGGCTGCTTCTGAGATTGCCCCAAGAGACCTGCAGAGAGCTGGTGGGCTTGAGGATTAAAGACCTGAAAAGAGTCATAAGCCAGTGGCTCAGATTTCTCTTGCTGTTCCCGTAGAGAGGCATTGGCTGATAGAAAATACCATGCGAAATCTGAAGCTGTGGCAATGTTTGTATGTCCAACCATCTTTACTTCCATATCCGATCTCTGCAATTGCCTGATAGGGATGATTTGCCAGCCTCCAAAACTGTCTGTGGAGGGGAGCAAAGGAGAAGGCTCTAAGGAAAGATGAGGGAAAGGGAAAGAGGGGAAACCAATATCAAGGACTCTCTTAGGAGATTTTTCAGGGAAGGTTAACCGGAAGCAAAAAAAAAAAAAAGAAAAGTCACAAGTTTTGTTTTTAGAGGATATAATACATCTGTGTATATAATTACAGCCCCACTTAGAAATGCTACAGGGAATTTTCCTTTTCCTCTGCCTCCTCCCATGCAACAGAAAGCTCCAGTTTGGATTTCACACAGGAAGTGTGATGTAGTGCACACCAACTTTCAGGAAACTGGGAAGCCAGAGCTTGATACTTCCTGGTGGGAAGGACCTCTGGGGGCTCTTGGGCCCCAAGGGCAGTAGCCCCAGGGGACTCCAGGAAGAATGATGTGGTTCACCTGTAACAAGTGGAGAGTGGCCAGTTCTGAAAGCTTGCTTTCGGAAAAGAAAAGCTGGATTTGGCTGAGCGATAAGCATGGGCACCTCTGACCCTTTTGTGCTCGGCAAAAAGGGAGGAGGTTGACCTCAAAGAGATACAGACTGTTTTCCTTTGGGCTAGAGGACCCAAGCTCTATTTTGTTTCTGCCTGGAAGACAAGTAGAGCTCATTCCAGTGATGTCAAAGGTCACCAAATACCAGCATCCCTCGTCAGAGTAGCCGTGCTCAGTGTGGGCCAAAGACACCTGGGTTGGTGGTGGTGGATTTTGTTTTGTTTTGCCCTGCAAGAGTGGGTACAACAGTCAGTTAAGGTCTGGTTACCCTGGTGCCAAAAAACAAATCCTAGTACCTCCGGCTTCTGGCTCAGTTGTCCCCAGCCTTCGCAAGTAATCCAGCTGGAACGTGGAGAACAGAAAGGGACCGGATCCGCCCCTTCCTGTGGGTGGGTTCCTTTAGAGTTCTTGCCCAGGTCAGCGCACTTCCGCTGCCAGAAACAGAGCCCGGTGTTTGGGGCGCCAACTCAAATTACTTCACAAGACAGCAGCAATTAGTTGCCTGGGGCCAATGGCTCCCCACAATCTGCATTGCTGAAGTAGTCTGTCACAAACTGATTTGTAATTCCAAATGTACCTGTGCCCCACCCAGTTGTCAACACCTTAGTAATTACCCTAATCCTAAAACCTGGTGCCTGGCAGAAAGAAAGGAGGAGGAGTGGGGATTCAAAAGAGCAGCTGCAGGGCTTCCCTGGTGGCGCAGTGGTTGAGAGTCCGCCTGCCGATGCAGGGGACGCGCGGGTGCGTGCCCCGGTCCGGGGAGATCCCACATGCCGCGGAGCGGCTGGGCCCGTGAGCCATGGCCGCTGAGCCTGCGCGTCCAGAGCCTGTGCTCTGCAACGGGAGAGGCCACAACAGTGAGAGGCCCGCGTACCGCAAAACAACAACAACAACAAAACAGGGCCTAGATGTGCCATCCAAGGCCTGCTAAGAAGAGCTCGCATTTATCCAGCACTCACTCTGCCAGGTATGCACTAAACACTTCTTTATTTCCTGTAAACCTCACCACAGTGCTGGAAGGTGCCGGTGATTCCCATTTTGCTGATGGGGAAACTAAGGCTCTGAGAAATGGAGTCGTTTGCCACGTGGCCAGTAGGAACTCACATGGCCAGTAGGAACTGAAAGCAACTTTGAACTCTCACCTGATTCTCAAGCCCTGAGCTTTGCAGCATCAGGGTGTACTGCTGCTTCAGGCGGATAGATTTAACAAGGGTGGGCGCCAGGAGATGCCAGTTGAGCCAGGAAGGCAGTCATTGCCAAAGTGTCAAAACCAGAAGGGGTCTGAGACCTGAGAAGTGGCAGTCCAGTAGCTGGAAAGCACGGGGCCAAGCGGAGGTGCTCCTGGGACACCAAGTGGAGGCAAGAAGAGCAGACCCCGTGCGCCTGTTGAGGAGCATAAAAGGCAGCATCCTTGGCCACTGCCTTATGCTAACCCAGTTTGGAAGTGGCAGAGGTGTGGAGAGCCAGGGAAGAGTTTCTGAATTTGTGTTAATGTCATCTCCCAGCTAAAGGCTGGTGGAAACCATGAAGTTGATGTTGCTTAAGTCATATGCAAATATAAACTGGTCTTCTTCCAAGATGTTTTGAATGGAATGAATGCCCCATCCGGGGGTACCTCCCAATACCTAGCCCCTAAAGAGCCCCTGTGAGGCTTCTCTATCCTTCCTAACCTCGGCTTCCTCCCCGTACCCAGCTGTGCAGGTGTCTCCCTGGAACAGTGAGGGCCAACCTCTCCACTGAGTGCCAGCACTGAGGCGTGGCCCCGCGCTATCTTCTCCCTCACCACACAGCCAGACATGCTGCCTGGTGGATCTGGGGTCACCCTCTCCATCTGTCTCTCTTTGATAGTTCCATTTTTCTTCCATTACTGTGCATTTAGTGGTTGATGAATTCAGAGCATCACATACATTTTTAAGAGACTGCTTACTATACACCAGACACTGTTCTAAGTCCTGTACATGTATTGACTCTTTTTATCCTCATAAAAGAACATGAAGTGATTAGTACCCTAATCTCCATTTTACAGATAATAACACTTGGGGTCCAGAGAGGTTAAGCTACTTGCCCACGTTACACAGCTGATGAATAGCAGAGCCCAGGTAAGAATCTAGGCCGCCTGAGCCCAGTACCCACACTCTTAGCTGCTCTGCCATAGTGATTCTGGGCTGAGTCAGGGTATCCATTCAAATATCTCTTCCCAGGCATGCCAGACCTATTCGTGGCTGGGTTGCTGCTGCCATAACTGGCTCTGGGCTAGAACACTGAAATTATATCAGGTTCCCAGGTGAGGACGATGTTATTGTCGGTGGTCAAGGAAAATGTCACAGAGTGTTGTGGATGCTCTGCAGAGGGTGGCGTTGAGTGATTCACCTTCCCTGGGACACCTTCTTCTCTCGCTTTGTACCTGGGCACTGTGACTCAGTTTCTAATGTCATCGGTGGTGAGTCCCGGACCCCTTTGGCAGCATCATCACCTATTCGTAGAACATGCAGTCAGCCATCCGGGACAGGTGCAGAGCAGAAATTCACAGGAGGAACAACATTTAGTGTCACTCACAGGAAAGTGCCAATTCCAGAGCTTAAGAGGAACGTTGGAGGGAGTGAAGATAATAATAACTAATGCTTATTAAGCCCTCACAATGTGCCATCCCTGGTCTAAGCACATTCCAGGAACTTTGTCATTTAATCCTCACCTTGGCCCTCTGATGTAGATCCTATTATTATCCCCCTTTGGCAGATGAAAAAAATGAGGCACAGAGATGTGATTTCCCAAGATCACAGGGCTCGTAAACGGAGGATCCAGGATTCGAATGCAGCCAGTTTCTTCAAAAACTGAGCTCAAACATGCCGCTACTGGGAATTCCCTGGCATTTCAGTGGTTATGACTTGGCACTTTCACTGCCATGACCTGGGGTTCAGTCCCTGGTCGGGGAACTAAGATTCTGCAATCCACACAGTGCAGCCAAAAAAAAAATGATACTACACCTGACACCTGAGCCCTTGTTCTTAACTGCAGCTCTATTTGGGAGAGACAGGGACTTTCAGCTGTCTCATTACCAGCTCCATTGTCAGCCTTGAATGAATGAGGCCCCAGAAGCAAAGTGAAAAGAAAGCTTGGCCTAAAATAACTGCATGACTCCTGACTGGGGAACAAGGTGGGGAGGTGAGGCAGGGGAGGGGGGTGCCTCCAGGTGGCAAATTCAGTAAGGGATGTTTCTGACTAGGCTCTAGAAGGTGTCAGAAGAGACTTCCCAGTCAACATCCATGGCAGCAGGGGGCACAGGGAGGGAGAACCCAGGTTGTTCCCTTGACCCTCTGAGTTCCTAAAACAAGACTCCAGCTCTGGTCATCCTTCCCCTCCCACCCTGACCTTGCTGAGCTCTCATTCTTGCCACCTGTTGCTGTTGGTTGCTTGCCCCCATTTCTGAGGTGCTGACAGAAGGGAAATGTATTGCCCGGCTGGTAACAGAGCTTTCATTTTAGCATTGGAAAGCCTGGGCATCACCACTTTGATGGCTACTAAGTATAACATTACTACTTTCTTTTGGATGAAATCTTAAAATTTTGCAAAGATATTTGCAAATCATATATCTGAAAGGGATTAATATCCAGAATGTATAAGGGACTCCTACAACTCAACAAGAAAAAAATAAACACCCAATTAAAAAAATGAGCAAAGGATTTGAATAGATATTTCTTCAAAAAAGATATGCAAGGAGCCAATGAGCACATGAAAAGGTGCTCAGCATCACTCATCATTAGGGAAATGCAAATCAAAACTACCAAACCCATTAGGATGGCTATAACCAAAAAAAAAAAAAAAAAAAAGGAAAATAACAAGCCTTGGCAAGGATATAAAGAAAGAACACTTGGGGGCTTCCCTGGTGGCGCAGTGGTTGAGAGTCCGCCTGCCAATGCAGGGGACGTGGGTTTGTGTCCCGGTCCGGGAAGATCCCCCATGCTGCAGAGTGGCTGGGCCCGTGAGCCATGGCCACTGAGCCTGCGCGTCCAGAGTCTGTGCTCCGCAACAGGAGAGGCCACAACAGTGAGAGGTCCGTGTACCGCAAAAAAAAAAAAAAAGAAAGAAAGAAAGAAAGAACCCTTGTGCATTGTTTGTGGGAATGTAAACTGGTGCAGCTGCTGTGGAAAATAGTTTGGCAGCTCCTCAAAAAGTTAAACATAGAATTACCATATTGTACAGCAATTGCACTTCTAGGTATATACCCCAAAGAATTGACAGCAAGGACTCAAATACTTGTACACCATTTTCATAGCAGCATAATTCACAATATCTAAAACGTGGAAACAATGTCTATCAATGCATGAATGGATGAACAAATTGTGGTATACCCATATGATGGAATATTATTCAGCCATAAAAAGGAATGAAGTTCTGACACATGCTAAAACATGGATGAACATTGGAAACATTATGCTAAGTGAAATAAGTCAAACACAAAAGGACAAATATTATATGATTCTACCTGTATGAGGTACCTAGCATCAGCCAATTCATAGAGACAGAAAGTAGAATGAAGGTTATTGGGAGCTGGAGGGGGAGATGAATGGAAAGTTCAATGAGGACAGAGTTTCTGTTTGGGGTGATGAACAAGTTCTGGAAATGGATAGTGGTTACACAACATTGCAAATGTACTTAACGCCATTGAACTATACCTTTTAAATGGTTAAAATGATAAATTTTGTTATGTATATTTTAGTACCATTTAAAAAAATCACCAAAAAAAAAGTATATAAAAAGTTCTGTGGGGTTTCATCTCAGCAGTTTATAATTCCATTGACAGTCACCATAACTACGCTACAGAGAGGAGTACCATGTGAGAACCACACTTGGCTCTCCAAGCTGGAACTGAAAACACCACTAGTCTACTCCTTGGAGTTCCCCCAAAGTGAATCTGTCCACACATGGTTGCTATTGGACCCTACCTGTTGCTACAGTATCACTGTGCTGTTACTAAGGAATGAGACATGTCCTGACTTTCAGAGCATTCACACAGTACATAAAACCACTCTGTTCCTTGATATAAGGCCACATCTCCTTCAATACTTAAGCATTAAAAAAAAAAGTGAGCTAAGGATTTATTTGGTTAGAGTTTAAACTCCAATCATTGTTTAGTCAGGGATGGAGCCAATTGCAGTGTTTAAGCTTCATCATTTAGACAGGGACAGAGCCAACTTTACAGAATTCTGGAAGGCAAGCTTAACCTCAGGGTACCTTAACAGTTCTGCTCTGTGGCCAATCCTGAGGATTTAATTCAGAACAAAATTTTCATCCATTTATAACCCCAGTTTCTTCCATCTACTGGAAATACAAAGAAGAATAAGGCATAACTCCTGCTCTCAGGAGGCTGAGAGTCTGATAAAAATGTAGAAATAATACAAATAGATTAAAGTAAATGTTAATAGTCATGTATTCAATGTGTTCTGGGGTGACCGGGGTCAGGATTGGGGGCAAGAAGAGGGGCCATCATGGGTCACAGAGACAGGATGACATTTCAACCAAATCCTGACGGAAGAACGGAGTTTTCCAGGGCAACAAAACACAAAGAGGGACTTCAGGGGGAAGGGATGGCATATGGAAAGCCACAAAGCATGACATGATGGGCCATCCAGAAATCCACAAGCAGCCAGGTGTGGGTAGAGCAGGGTGAGTGGGAGAGTGGCAAGATCCTGCAAGAATATAGAAGGAATTTAGGTGTTATCATGTGCTCCATGGGCAACTGCAGGAGGACGTTAACCACGGAGGGCTCCTGGAGGGGCACAATCAGGTTTTCGTTTCCGCAAAAAAATTTAAAGATTGGTGGTTGGATTTGAGGGATTAGAAGCTTGACACAAAGAAGCCAGCTGGAAGGTTGTCAGAGAAACCAAGGTGAGAGATGAAGAAAGCCCAGACGCAAGGGCCATTTCAGAGGCAGCAGAGACAAGATAATTATTGTAGCTATTTTACTAGCTCGAGGTCCAAAATGAGGTCACCTCTCTTTTTGGCTCTGCAGAGCTGAAAGACAGCCGGTCCTCCCACGCCCCCTTCTTGTGACAAAGCTGTGGGAACCCCAGACTTGCAATGGGAATGGGGTCTGTAGCTGCTTCCCCCCTCCTTTCTCTTCTCTAGGCATCCTTGCTCAGCCTCCCTACATTATCTGAAGACATCGTTTTACTTTACTATTATTTTAATTTATTCTATTTTATTTTCTGACTTCAGTTTCACAGATGCTTCAGAATTCAAGACAGGATAGGAAGACAGTGAAGAGTGTTCCTCTCACTTCTCTCCCATCTGCTCAATTCCCACCCGGACCTGCAAAGGGTAACCACTGTTTCTAGTTTCTTATGTATCCTTCCAGAGATATTTAAAAATGTGCATTCAAGCAAATATGATGATACATTCTTCCCTTCCTCCTTTTATTTCCTTTTCTTTTTGGGGTTCCTTCTTAGAATACGTTTACAAAACCCCAGGGGAGCTCATTGGGTCTTAAGGAGTCAGTCCTGGTTACTATTATGTCTACTGATAAGCCCTTCTCCTCTGCAGTGGCTAAAGGTATAAGGGCCCCAAGCAGAAAGTCATCTAGTGGGGAGGCCTCATCTCCTCAGGAGGCTCCATCCATCCCTGGACCTACTGCAGTAACTGAGGCACGAATGCCAGCCAGCCACAGCAGTCTAGGCCAGACCCTGAACACAGTAGAAAATGAGGCATCGCTGAGGCTCCCAGTCTCAGACTGAGGAGGGCGATGCCCTGTGTGATGCTTAGATGTGACCACTCCACAGCCAAGAGGACCCACACTCTTAGCCATTTTCCCTGGGCTCACCCATGGAGTCAAGTGGCTGGACCACAGGGCACCAGCTCTGGTACAGCTCCCAGAGTCAGCTGTCCAGAACAGAACCCCACTCTGACCCTGAGCCCCCTGAGGGACACTTCTGTTCTTTCCCGCCAGCCAACCTCAGCCCAAGTCCAGCCGGGATATTATATTAACTTTTATATTATAAAGAGAGGCCCTAGGTCTCACTGTTTCCTTCCAGAAAGTTCTTTGCAGGTTGCAAACATGAGTGCCTTTGGGAGGAGCATTGCATCACTTCACACACCAGAAGCAGCTCAGCCCCGAGGGCTTGGAGACACATACAGGTTTTTGATTTCAGTGCTTAGGGCTGAGTTCTTTTTGGTGGTTAAAGTGGATTGTAATAATAAAGGAGGAGGATTGAGTTTGGGGAGGGCCTGGGAGAGGAAATCAGCTCTGAATATATTGAGCTTATCCGTGTGACCTCTCAGCTTCCTATTATAAACATAAATCCTGATTTTAATGGAATCTCAAAGCTGCCTATCACTGAATTCCCTCGAGTCTATACATACCACCCTTCATGATTAACTTTAAGCTTCTTCTGGATCTTAACTAATGAAAGTCATACTCTGAAATCTACACAGGATAGCTGTTTAAAAAAATATACCATGTGATACTCAGGGGATACAATTGATACACACCAAATATAATTATAATAGTGTTTAGTAGTTGAACAAAGATATTCATATACCAATGAGAAGAGGAAGGCTGTATAGAGGATGAACTTACAACTACTAGAGGCTACGATCATGCCGTGCATATAATAGGCATTCGATAATTTTACTTTAGTAATAATAGCTAACACTTATGAGTACTCACCATGAGCCGGAAACTCATCTAATCAATTGACATGCCCTATCCCTATGAGGAAGGTATTTTTATTATTGTTTTTCTTACTGTCATTGTATTTTCCTTATTTTACAGATGAGAAAACTGAAGTCCATAGAGGTTAAGTAACTTGCTTTTTTTTTTTTAAACTTATTTAATTAATTAATTTATTTATTGGCTGCATTGGGTCTTCGTTGCTGCCCACGGGCATTCTCTAGTTGCAGGGAGCAGGGGCTGCTCTTTGCTGCGGTGCGTGTAGCCCTCTCGTTGCGGTGGCCTCGTTTGTTGCAGAGCATGGGCTCTAGGCACGTGGGCTTCAGTAGTTGTGGCGCACGGGCTCAGTAGTTGTGGCTCGCGGGCTCTAGAACACAGGCTCAGCAGTTGTGGTGCACGGGCTTAGTTGCTCCGCAGCATGTGGGATCTTCCCGGACCAGGGCTCGAACCCGTGTCCCCTGCACCGGCAGGTGGATTCCTAACCACTGTGCCATCAGGGAAGCCCCAAGTAACTTGCTTTTTAATCACAGTTACTCTAGTAGGATGTCAATTTTGCTACTAACAAGGCCCAAAGTAACAATGACTTAGACAAGAGAGACATTTAATTCTCTCTCATGTCAGTCTCATCCTGAGCTGGCTGGGGCTGATAAGGTAGCTCATCCTTGTTGGGGACCAGGCCTCTTTCATGTTGCTCTGCCTTATCAGAGGGGGTACCCTATTCCTCCATGTCAAAGATGGAGCAAGGAGCAATGTTACTTCTGTATTTCAACAGAGGAAGAAAGTAAATGGAGGGGAAACCTGCCCCTTTTAAGGGGATGACTTGGAAGTTATGTTCACAGTCCATTGGCCATAATGTGGTCACATAGCTACACCTTATTGCAAAGGACGCTAGGAAATGTAGTCTTCACTTTGGCCACATGTCCATTAAAAATTCAGGGAAGAAAGGGAGAATGGTTACTACAGGACAAATAGAGATCTCTACTGCCATCAGAAGTAGAAGTGGAGGGCTTCCCTGGTGGCGCAGTGGTTAAGAATCTGCCTGCCAATGCAGGGGACACCGGTTCGAGCCCCGGTCCAGGATAGATCACACATGCCACGGAGCAACTAAGCCTGTGCACCACAACTACTGAGCCTGCGCTCTAGAGCGCGCAAGCCACAACTACTGAGCCCACATGCCACAACTACTGAAGCTCACATGCCTAGAGCCCGTGCTCCGCAACAAGAGAAGCCCCCGCTCGCCACAACTAGAGAAAGTCCGCGTGTAGCAATGAAGACCCAACACAGCCAAAGATAAATAAATAAAATAAATAAATTTATTAAAAAAAAAAAGAAGTGGGACTGAAACCCAACAGTTTGACTTCCAAGCCAGAACTCTTTTTTTTTTCCAGTAATAATGATCTTTTTAATTTTATTTTTTTGAATTTTATTTAATTTAATTTTTTTATACAGCAGGTCCTTATTAGTCATTAATTTTATACACATCAGTGTATACATGTCAATCCCAATCTCCCAGTTCATCACACCACCACCACCACCCCTCCCCCTGCTTTCCCCCCTTGGTATCCATGCGTTTGTTCTCTACATCTGTGTCTCTATTTCTGCCCTGCAAACTGGTTCATCCAAGCCAGAACTCTTAACTATTACATTCGTCATACTCTTGTCTAAGAAGAATTAGATGAGGTCAGGAGTTGGTAGGGTCTTTCCGATCCTTGCCTACAATTTGAGGCTTTCTTTTAATATTCTACTTTGAGTACATGCATGTGGGCACAGACTTATAGACACAGTATAAAGTTTTTAGATATAGCTGTCCATTGATGGGGACTCAGGTGAGGTCTCCTTTCATCCTTTCCTTGTAGACTTTAAAATTTTAAATTTTCTTTCTTTCTTTCTTTTTTTGGTGAGTTGCCAAATGACTCACACTTTATTATGCTTGGTATATTATGCTAACATCAGTTTAACAGTTTTCTCTGCCACCAGCCTGTAGAATTGGGCTTGGAAATCACTCCCCACAAATGAAATATCCCAGTCTTTCATTAGCAAGTGGGGCAAGCTAGGGTAACCTTTAAGAGTGCTTAGAAAGTATGAGAACATTGAAAATTAGGATCAAACCTCATGAATTTGACACAATTTGATAATTTTCATTAAAAGACCAATTTTATCTCATTCATTCCCAAGTGCTCTATTTTAGGGTTCCCTCAGTAGGATACCACCAAAATCAGGAAGCTTCATAATAGTCCACATATGCAGAACTGCACTTCTGATGCCTTTTTCCCTCACCCCTGTAAAAAGCAATTTTCTTTGAACCTCTCAAGACACTTGAGACATGTTTTATAAAACTAATTTATAGTAAGTATTAATTCAATCGGGCATTACTGGTGTGGCTCTTTCAGCTGTGCAGAATGCCACAGCAATGAGGAAATTGTTTTTTTCGGAGCAGGAGATGCCAATGTGATGACAGACATTTTTTTTTAAGGCATATAGCTGGTGGCTGTTAAATCTGTATTTCCTGGCATTCATAATGGTCCGTTAGCCACTGGACGTGAGCAGAGAATTAGTTAATAATCAGGCCTTCTTTTTCATAGTGTGTTTAACAATGCAAGTGCTTCTAAAGAATTATTTCATCTAATCTTAACAATAACCCGATGAGATCGGTAGGGACATCCTGGCAACATAAGAACCTCCCCAACGTCATTCTCACAAGACAAAGGCCTACTCCCTGTATTTAGAACCTGGGTACTCCCTAGTAAGTAGAAAGGACACTTAAATTGTGTTATTTTTCAGCAAATGTTCATTGAGCCCCCGCCGTGGGCCAGGGCACTGCAAGATGTTGGGGAGCTGCAGGTGAACAAGAAGCAGTCCTTTCCCTCAAAGAACTGCCTGGCAGGGGAGAGACGTCAACACCACTATCTATCATCCGATGCTGAAAGCACCGTAATCAGTGTCTTCTAGGAAAGTGTCAGAGAGGAGAGAGGGTTTCAGAGAATTGCAGGGGACATTTGTACTGTGCCCTGAAGTGTAACTAGGATTCTACATGGCAGGGAAGTGCAGGGAGGACATTCCAGGGAGTGGTTACAGCCTGAAGGGGGACAGAGGCATGGGCGAGAGAGTGGAGAGGAGTGGGTGGCTGGAGCCTGCTCGGGGACAAGAGGTGCCTCTAATTATGAAGATAGAGGAGGCCTTTTTTGCTCCACTAAAGGATGTGGGTTGGTCCTGCAAACCAGGGAGGTGGTAGAGTAGCTCCAGTTGCAAGTAAGTCCAGACTCCAAGGGTTTGTTGACTTGGGGATGTTACTTAACCACCATCTGTAAAATGGGGGTAATGCTCATACTGACGGGTTAGTTTTGAATGTTAACAAGCTGGTATATGTAAAGTGCTTAGCACAGTGCCTGGCACACAGGGGAAGACATATCTGTGTTTCGTTTGTTGTTTATTGTTTTCTCTTTAACATGTAGGAGGCAGGAGTGGGCAAGGAGAAAACCGTTCAGTAAACATGTACTTAATATCCATTTATTAAGTGCAAACTGTGGATCTAGGTTTTGTTTTGGACATCTTTGACATGCCTGAAGAAAATCTCATATGGGCAGCTGGAAATACCAGTGTAAGTTGTCATCAGTCATCAGATCACAGCCAGGAGATGGTGGAAGGGTCTGGAGGAGATCATCCGGGAGAGGGCAGAGAACGAGATGTGACCACCAGTTACAGAACGCAGGGTAGTGGCCCCCCGAGGCCACACTGAGGGAAGGGAGAGCACTGTGTGGGCTGGCGAGAGGAGGATGCCAGAGTTTCCAGAAGGAGTGGGTGGCCATTGTGTGAATGCAGCAGGGAGATGGCCTGAGGTAAGGGCCTGGGGGAGCAGGCCCTAGGTCGGATGACTAGGACGTGGCCATGGCTTTGGAGACGGTGGCAGGGACCCAAGCCAAATTCCAATGGGTGCAGACGAGAAAGAAAGTGAGGAAGCATGAGCATTGGTGTAGGAAGTTTGGGGTAAAAGCAATGAAAGCAGTAGCTGCAGGGGAGGAAGGGTGGAGGAACAGAGCTTTCTTTTAGGTTGGAGTGGCATTATTGTAGTCTGAGGGGAAGGAGCCAGGCTAGAGGAAGCCATCAAAATACAGACGAGGGAGGAGACAGCCACTGGAGCCAGAGCTCGCAAACACTGGCTGAAGAACCACTCTCGGATGGGAGAAGGGATGCTTGTTTCTTTGAGGTGGAAGTAGAGAAGTTTCCAGAATGGTACAGCCTGTCTGTTTGAGAAGCCATCTATGGTCATATTGGAATCCCAAGACATCTTCCTACTTATATTCTCCTTTCCAGGCCCAGTTCCCGGAACTCAGTCTGTTTCTTTCCCTCCTCAAAGGCACCACCCCTCCAGGACAGGAGGCTGGCTGGAGAGACAGCTGTAATATATCTGACGTTTCTTCACTTCTCTACTTTCCCAAAAATAAAAGCGTGGGGCCTTTTGCTTTGAGTTGATTGTTAATCACGACTCTCGAAGGATCCATCTGAGGATACAAAGAGCTACAGATTCTGAAGTTCCTCAGTCACTTTTGCTGGTTCTTTTCTTTGCCCAGAGGGTGCTCTCCTCTGTTCTCTGGATCTCTCATACCACACCTTGCTTCCAGCCCCATTGCTGACCATTCCGTTATTCCTAAAAGGCTTTCTGCCCCTGGCGTGAACGACGTTAAGTCTCTGGGTTGTCCTCCTGCCCACTGATCCCTCTGCTTTTCCTGATCTCTAGGTGTTGGATGCCCAGAGCTAAGTTCCCTGCTCCTTCTCTTCCCCAAGTCCGATCTCTCCCAGGCCCATCTCATCCAGTCCCATCACTTTAAATTTCATCTTTATGCTGAGGTCTACCCAGTCCTCACCTTTCGCTCCAACACCAGAACTCACCACCCGGTGGAAACGTTTGGATGCCTCACAGGCCTCTCAAACTTCACATGCCGAAAACAGAGCTCTTGTTTTTCTCCCCTTCCATCTGCCCCTCCTTCTATTTTCTACTCTCAGTATATGCCTGTAATTGTTTCCTCCGTTGCTTAACCAAAACCCCAAGTCATCTTGATTCTTCTCTTTCACTTGTCCCCCAGACGCAATCAATCCATCAGTAAATCCTGTTGACTCTGCTTCCAAAATATATTGAAATCTATCCACTTCTTCCATCTCCAGTCTAGTCCAATGCTACTCAATGTGCCATTGGCAGACCAGCAGCATCAGTGTCACCTGGGAACTTGTTAGAAATGCAAAAATCTTGGAGCCTTCTCCAGAATCAGAAACTCTGAGGATGGGACCCTCCAGAGAATTCTGATGCCTTCTAAAATTTGAGTGGTACTGGGACTTCCTTGGTGGTCCGGTGGTTAGGGCTCAGCGCTTTCACTGACGTGGCCCCTGGTTCAATCCCTGGTCTGGGAACTAAGATCCCACAAGCTGCACGGTGCGCCCCCCAAAGTTAATTAAAATAAAATAAATGTACCATCTTAACCATTTTTTAAAAAAATAAGTTTGAGTAGTACTAATGTGGTCTAAGGCTTTGTGATCTCTGGTCCAAGCTCCCTCAATAGCCTCCAACTGGTCTCCGTCCTTATTCTCTCGCTGCACCATAATCTGCTCTCCTCCTAGCAGCCAGAGTGATTGTTTTCAAAAACAATTAAATCAGATTATGTCACACAATACACACCCTCCTCTCCCCAGCCCCCACCCACCCACCAGTTTAAACCTCTCATAGCTTCCCACTGGACACAGTATAAGCCAAGTTTTCTTTCCTGATCCAGAGAGCGCTGAGGTGAGATCTGGTCACACCTGTCACCCCCGCCTCTGCCAGAGCCTCGCCTCCCCCTGCCTCTAGGCTCTCCCGTCTGCAGATACACCAGCTTGCTCCCAACCTGGCACCTTTGCACTGGCTGTTCCTCTGTCTGAAATGCTCTTCCCCCGAACTTCAATAGCTGCTTCCCCCATATACCATTTATTTCTCAGTGTAACTGGCACTTCCTTTAGAGAAGCCTTCGCCAACTGACCAATCCAAGATAGCCCCTCTTTACCAGATCACACGGTTTTAACTCGCCGCATAGTACTCATTACTATCCTTTTTTTTTTTCTTGTTTATTTATTGTCTGACGTAAGTTTTATGAGAACAGGGACCTGGTTTGTTTTGTTCGCTGCTGTATCTGAGTGCCTGGAACACTGCCAGGCACACAGTAGATGTTCAGTAAGTATTTGCTGACTGGATGAACTTCACTTCTTCCTTACCTGTAGGCCTGAGGTTGCTATTTGTGAACTAGTGTCCACGCAGTTGCCCACTTACTCAGCTCTCGTGGCTGCATTTCCGGGAGGCTCCAGTCAGTGCCTCATCTCTGACTTCTTTGGAATCTCAGGGAGGTAATCTGAGAGTCAGTGCCCCAAGGTCTCTACTTTTGTTGTGTTTGTTGGGTAGTAGGTGAAGCTGCCTTGTGTTTAAGAACAGGGGCTTTGTGGTCAGAGAAGCCTGGGTTCAAGCCCTGGCCCTGCTGCTTGCTGCTATGAGACTCTGGGGCCAGCCCCTTCCACTCTCCAAGCCTCAGTCTCCCCATTTGTAATTTGGGGATCGTAACAGTCCCTACAACACAGAACTGCTGAGAGGCATGAATGAGCTGGCTGTAACATACGTGGGAGATGTAAGCCACTCCGTAAGTGTTTGCTATCATTATTGTTGTTGTTGTCATTATTTTATACGGAGAGAGAGGAATGTATAAATAGCACTGAGGACTTAAAAAAAAAAAAAGTGCAACCGTACTCATGATAAGAAAAATGCAAGCTTGAATCCATGGAGATGTTATTCGTCACCTTCCAAATTGGCAAAGCCTAGAAAGTCAGCTGACACTGTTGGTGGAGACGCAAGGAAGCTGGTGGGAGGGCGAATTGCTACAACAACCTCCCTAGAAAGAACATTGGCCATAGCTAACAAAATCACAAGTGAACATACCCTTTGGCTCAGCTAATCCACCTCCAGGAATTTATGCTACAGATATTCTGGCACATGTGCAAAATGATGTAAGTAAGGTTATTCCTTACAACACTGTTTGAATTTCAAAATATTGGAAGCAACCTATATGTCCATGAGTAGGGAAGTGGTTAAATAAATTGTGGTATATCTATATAATGTAACAAATAAATGAGAAATTTTCCTTATGTATTGATTGTTAGGTGAAAATAGATTGTTAGGTGAAAAAAGCTAGGTGCAAGATAGGGTGTATAGTGGGATCTAGAAAAAAGCAGGCAGTAGGAAAAAATGCATATGTGTACGTATTCTTTTGTATAAACAGAAGATCTCTTAAAGGACAAAGCAGAAGAAAAATTTTTATTGTACACTCTTTGATCTTTTGAATGTTGGACTATATGAATACATTATCTATTTAAAACGAAAGAAGAAGATTCTGATTCTTTAAAACTTAATTATTGGTACTACTACTCAGTGACTCTTACTTTTTAGGCAATAACTGGTTCTAGGAATGGTGAATCTCTCTTAATAATTACTAATGTCAGAGGCAAAAGCAATGATCACAAAGATACCAAAAATGCAGACATTCTTTGGGTTCTGTGCTTGAAAGTAATAGTCAGCTTGCAAAGGAGATGCCCGCAAGTAGATAATAAACGGTGCCTGTGGGAATCTATATCAGCTTGCAGAGAATGTTCTGAATTTCTCCTAAGATTTTGAAAACACATTTTTTCTTTCTCATTTTTCTAGCATAAAAGCAAATAGTTGGGACTTCCCTGATGGTCCAGTGGCTAAGACTCCGTCCATGTTCCCAATGCAGGGGGCCAGGGTTCGATCTCTGGTCAGGGAACTAGATCCCGCATGCCACAACTAAAAGATCCCACATACCACAACTAAGACCCGGCGCAGCCAAATAAATAAATAAATATGTTTTTAAAAAATAGTTAACATGTATCTGGAAGATTTTTAGTAATATGGTTTTTTTTTTTTGCGGTACGTGGGCCTCTCACTGTTGTGGCCTCTCCTGTTGTGGAGCACAGGCTCCAGACGCGCAGGATCAGTGGCCATGGCTCACGGGCCCAGCCGCTCCGCGGCATGTGGGATCTTCCTGGACTGGGGCACGAGCCTGTGTCCCCTGCATCGGCAGGTGGACTCTCAACCACTGTGCCACCAGGGAAGCCCCATTTTCTTATTATTTTTTAAGGCTACCGGAGATTGGGGCATGTTTGTAGACTGAAAGGAAGGTACCTGGACCCATGGCGAGAGTGACAATGAATCAAGAAGGTCCAGAAAGATTAGGCTGAACCCTGGATATGGCAATAAGGATGTCACCGTAACCTCTGAGACAGCAGGTTTAGCAGTGCTGCAGGGAAGGCAGCCAGATGGAAGCAGAGTGAGGAGGGAAGGGCTTAGGAGTCTCCAGCGATGCACAAGAGGTGGGCACGGCCAGGGGTACGATGGAAGCAGCCGACCACAGAGGCAGCAGAAAGGAACAACAGGGTATGACCACACAGAAATCTGTGTTTTGGAAAACAGAAAGTTCAGAAGCTGGTAGGCCAAGGCTTAGAGGGATTGCCTGTCCCACGTAACATACATGCATTGAACTAGAAACAATACGTTAAACCAACTTCAGCTGGATTCCCGAGGGCAGCCTGACCTTTCCCTTTCCTCGGATCTCTTCACAAAAGTGGATTCTCAACTCTAAGTAGTAATTTATTTACAATCTTTATTATGAGCCAAAAAAGGTGCTGGGTTTGTGATTGGCATTTAACAATTCCGAGTTATGTTCTGATGATGACAGCCGCTTGCTCGGCACAGCTGCTACCTTATATCACCCACTGTATATATGTGCTCAGCTCTGCGAAATGCCTCGGCCCCTGGACCTTTACACAGATGCCTGAGTGAGGATGGACCAATCGGTGACCTGTCTTATATCTGTGTCTCCGCCAGGAAGCTTTACAGCTGGGATTTAAACCTGTATCTGCTAGACTCTGAAACCAATAGCTCCGCCACCATGCAAACACACCTGTAATCCCATACTTCCATCAGATTTCCTTTTAAAGGGTCTTATAGGAGGAACGTTAAAATGAAGAGCTCGTAAGACTCTCTGAGAAAACAGACGGGATATAGTCATTGTCTTCCATTGCTTTTGCTTCAAAATATGTAAATTTTCACAATTTTTCTATTAAATAAAATTCAAATGCTTATTTCAGATAAATTAAAGAGTGATGTTACCACGCAGAATTAACTGTCACACCTGGCTGTGTTTTCTCCCAGACTTTCTATAGTCATACGCAGTATGTGTATATATATGTGTGTGGATATATTTCTTCACATAAAGAGTATCGGTCATAGTGAACATATACCATATAAAAATATAGTTTCAACACCATTTTTTAAAACAACATCTTTATTGGAGTATAATTGCTTTACAATGGTGTGTTAGTTTCTGCTTATGACAAAGTGAATCAGCTATATGTATACATCTATCCCCATATCCCCTCCCTCTTGCGTCTCCCTCCCACCCTCCCTGTACCACCCCTCTAGGTGGACACAAAGCACTGAGCTGATCTCCCTGTGCTATGCGGCTGCTTCCCACTAGCTATCTATTTTACGTTTGGTAGTGTATATTTGTCCACGCCACTCTCTCACTTCGTCCCAGCTTACCCTTCCCCCTCCCTGTATCCTCAAGTCCATTCTCTACATCTGCGTCTTTATTCCTGTCCTGCCCCTAGGTTCTTCAGAACTTTTTTTTTTTAGATTCCATATATACGTGTTAGCATGGGTATTTGTTTTTCTCTTTCTGACTTACTTCACTCTGTATGACAGCCTCTAGGTCCATCCACCTTACTACAAATAACTCAATTTCGTTTCTTTTTATGGCTGAGTAATATTCCATTGTATACATGTGCCACATCTTCTTTATCCATTCATCTGTCAATGGACACTTAGCTTGCTTCCATGTCCTGGTATTGTAAATAGAGCTGCAGTGAACATTGTCAAGGCCATTTTTTAAAAAATTTTATTTATTTATTTTTGGCTGTGTTGGGTCTTTGTTGCTGTGCGTGGGCTTTCTCTAGTTGTGGCGAGCAGGGGCTACTCTTCGTTGCAGTGCACGGGTTTCTCATTGTGGTAGTTTCTCTTGTTGCGGAGCACGGGCTCTAGGTGCATGGGCTTCAGTAGTTGTGGCTTGCAGGCCCTAGAGTGCAGGCTCAGTAGTTGTGGTGCACAGGCTCAGCTGCTCCACAGCATGTGGGATCTTCCTGGACCAGGGCTGGAACCTGTGTCCCCTGCATTGGCAGGCGGATTCTTAACCACTGCGCCACCAGAGAAGCCCTGTCAACACCATTTTTGATGGATGGCTGCCTTGAAATACTGTTATATCAGGCTTATCTGTGACCCACGTGCTTGGGAGGATAAATGATCATGAATTAGAATTTCTTGCGATTTACTGATAGACGCTAGGAGGAAGTCTGTTCAAATTTTTACATAATAT